TCGCTCCCGCCCTTCGCCGCCGGTTGAGGCGCCGGGCGGTCTCTGAGGATCGGCGGAGGTTCCCCGGCACAGGGCTGCCACGAGAGGGCGCTGGGAGTCGCAGCTAGGCTTTAGTTTCTGAGGCGGAGCACCCACCTCTATTCTGTGGCTTCAGAAACGTGGTCGTTCGTAAAAAAAAAGTAAAACAAATTTTCTGCTTCCTCACCCGATTCCACGAGTGAGGCTCTCCACGACGTAGCAAGCATCCCCGCGCGGGCAGGACGACTGTTAGAGGCAGAGAGGGATCCGCAGGATACCTCCTCCAATTCTCCTACTTTGAACATTTAGCAGAGACGAAATGTCTTCTGTACCAGCGCCCAGGGGAGCAACAGGGTGCTCCCTCCAAGCCGGGAGAGGGCGCAGGCAGGCACTATCCCCAGCCTTACCCCATCCTCCTGCTTCAGCCCCTGGCTCTGAGCCATGGTTTCATGGAATCATAGAATGTTTTGGGTTGGAAGGGACCCCTAGAGGTCATCTAGCCCAAACCCCCTGCAGGGAGCCGCTAACTAGATCAGGTTGCTCAGAGCCCCGTCCAAGCTGGTCTTGAATGTTTCCAGGGATGGGGCCTCCACTGCCTCTCTGGGCAACCCATTCCAGTGTTTCACCACCCTCATTGTAAAGAATTTCTTCCTTATATCCAGTCTAAACCTACCCTGTTTTAGTTTAAAGCCATTACCCCTTGTCCTGTCAGCTTGAGCGTGTCCCATACCAGCACATACAACAGGTGAGATACTCTTTTTGATACACTGCCAAAGCCCGTATTTAGTTACTGGTCATTTCTCAGTTGTTGCGTAGCTCTTGCGACAAAAATGATTTATTCCAGTGAGACTCAGATGGCTCACCCAAGGAAGGTATTTTTATTATCTAATACATGGTGTAAGGTTATGGCAGGAAAATGCAGGTCAAAATCGCACATTAAACCCATACATAGCTTATTTATACCACACAGACTTACAGCAATTCAAAGGCTACTAGCTTTATTAATAAGTAACAAAGTATATGCAGGTAAAAAATTTCTAAAGAACAAATCCTATGTAGGTCTATTTCCCCATCCAAATCACTCCCTTTAAATGAAAACTTTCTTGTTCTGACGAAGGATCACTTGTTTCACACACGTCTATTACAGGAAAGGCTGTGCATTCAGGGAGAGTGTCAAGGATTCCTCCTGTCAGCTTTCCCTGGTAGCAGCCAAGAGATTACCCAACCACTTTCAGTGCTATTCACAGAAGAAATCAATGTCCTGAAAGAGAGAATTAAAAGGAAAGATGTTTCAAGATTACTGAAGGATTAACATTCCTTTATCACCCTGCAAAGGTACATGAATAGATACAAACACAGAATACTCCTTAAACAGTTCCTAATCACACATGAAAAGGATGCCTTAAGTGGACTGAGGCTATGCGATGCACTCGCTACAGAGAATTGTGACCAGAAAATAAATGCCAGTATTTTGCTTGAAAACTTCCAGTATGGGATAGACTTCCACAGCATATTGCTTTCATCCAACTTCCTGCTATTATCTTATATGGCTATAAGATCTCAGTTCTGCTGCAGGGAATTACCACACTGCGGTGCTCAGACTCTACAACATTTACATTAGACCAGTGTATCACATATAGCTGTCCACTGGAAGCAGAAGACAGGGAGAGTTGTTTTGGAACAGATGCTTACTGGTAATGAAAGTACTCTCATCTTAGCCAGCAAATGGCCAATTCTAAGTGATGGAGGGAAGGCAGGCAATCCAACACTGCTTTGTAGTACACACAGTCTATTGTGTTGAGTCTATTGTATTTACTGTGATTCAAGGGTTCGGAAGTAGCAGCACTTGGGGGGGGTGGGGTGGGG